AGTTACTGTTAGAGAAGCAGTACTGGGCACTGAGTACAGTAGTTATAGCAGTAGTAGTATGGTACTAGAAAAATCTCATGAAAATATTTTGCATAGATGTATAATATATTCTGTTCTATTGAGTTTGAAGGCCTATTTTCCACTTATTTCTCAATATGCACTGTTGAAGAAAATCATCATATCACCTATTTTCTGAACGGTTTATATAACGTATGTTGAACTTAACGTACTTGGGGATAAAGGCGTGCCAGACAAATTGGAATATATCATTCCAATTGATTCCAAATATTTCCCGTACATGTATCATTTGTTCTGCCAAAGTATTATCTTGAACCAGACGAGGACATGAAAGTATGACATAATGAGGAGACCAGATGTGCTGTGTGTGTGGTTCAATTGAAGGATTTGATTGGTGGAAAGAACTACGTATCTTCTCTTCATTTAGGCCACAACATAATGGTGGTGCTTTTGCCAGAACACAATTTTTTTTTGTGCATTCTTTGTGCAGTATGAGATACAAGAATCTCAAGAAAAAAAAGGGGGGGGGGTAACTAATTAACATATTTTGCATCTAGGAGATATATACTATATTCTAATCTATTGAGTTTGAAGGCCTACTTTCCACTTATTTCTCAATATGCACACACACACACACACACACACACACACACACACACACACACACACGCTGCATTGGCCTGCAGTGCTCCATATTACGGCCTTTGGATACCAGGAAAATAGCATATGTTTGCCCCAAAGGCTAAACATGAGAAAAAGGCTCAATCTGGTGGAAAATAGTACACTACAATTTTAAAGTCAAGGCTCTACATGCTTTTATGCTATAATGTCAATTACTGTAGTTCTGAGACATGATGGTATTCAAGATTTAATGGGAACACATTTTCAAAGGCTATTAAGCTGTCTGCATCTAAGGGTGAAGCCAAATACCTGTCCGTAATATATGGGAATTGGGCATATGTCTGCTTAAACGTCTCTGAACAAACCCCTAAATATATTTCAGCTTTAAAGCCACTGCTCTAGCTGACCCTGCATCATTTTCTCTGTAATCCTCCTTACTGATTGTCACTGGCTGTTTATACCCTGGCTAGGACCGTAGCTTAAAAATCAGACAATTAAACACCATCAGATCTAAAACTGTATGTAAAAATGTATCATACAGTATATGTCAAAAAATATCTGTAAGGTAATACTGAAAATGACGACAACTATTTAATTTGACCTTAAGTTAAAGTATTGATGGATAACATAACACAAATTTGTGCCTAAATCAATGTCCCTGACCATTTTTACTGCCATTTCTGCATGACCTAATATAATCTTGAATAGGTAAACCAGCCATTTTGAAGAGATATTTGTTTGATATATCACAACAATTATGTGAGTTTTTAAAAACATAAACACACGTTGAATACTTTATGAATAAGACCAAATAAACCAACCAAATTGCAGAGATAACATGCTAGCGCATTTGTTTTTATTTTCTCTTGTCAGTTAAACCAGGCTATTACAGCATTCATACATACATAATTCGTATAACTATAACTATACCTAATAGCATAAATGAATGCCCTATAATTCGTAGATAACCCACAAAATCAATTCTTTTGTAATCTACATAATCATGAACAAAGAAGTATAAAGACCGCATAAACCCACGCAGGGTGGTTTGGAAGGGAAGTGGAGTGAGTCAAACAAAAACTGAACTTTGAGCCAGGAGACTGATATTCGTGCCCCCGTGAAATGTTTATTTGTCAGCTAACTTCCGGACTTAAGTAACACCCCTTCCTAAATGATTTCAACCCAATCCACGACCTTTTCCTGAACCCAACAAAATAGTTTTGTTCCTTTAAGCTCAATAGGTTGTTTACTGTGAAGTTTATTTTCAAAAGACTGTACTCATGTAACAAGACGAAAAATTGACACATGTTGCTGGACTTTTGTAAGAAAACGCACGAAAAATTAGGAGTAACTTTTTCGCAAGATATCATGCGAACCATGAGGATACGTTGGTTAAACAAACAGAATGTACTCCAGTCTTTTATATTAGATTCAATGTTATAAGTATAATACAATTATGGGAACAATTTAAACACTTGGCTTCCTCATGTGGATTAAAGGTATGGTACGAATACAAATGCTAGATAAAACACTTTGGAAGACATTCCTCAAATTTATTTAGTAAAGGACTTGTTTAGCATTTTTAAATCCTCAAACTCCCTTCTCAGTACAATACAGTCATGGACTGTAGGTATCATGAAGGCAAGAGGAACCTGGAATACCCTCTTCACAACCTCTGGTGGCCAAAAGAAATACTGGCACCATTACTCCCAGTGGTTTAAGCTGCAAGCTGACAGTATGTCATGTTATTTACAGAAGAAGTGTGTTTTGAACATGAGGTCTTGCACTACTTGTTTTGTTTAGAACTTACAGAACTTTGACTTAAATATAGATGTTTTATTTTCTATTTAATTGATGGTCATTGCTTTCTATAAATATGTACTCCTATGTAGGAGTATACATATTTACTCCTATATTTACACCTATTGTCCACTACTTGTGTACAAAACACTATTTTTTTTACCTTTATCTGTCCAACTGAGTCAGATTCCTTGTATGTGCAAACATACTTGGCTGAATAAAACTAATTCCTATTCTGAAAAGTTTTAAGTGCAAGGACAGAAAAAAAGGCTTTCAATTTAATTTCAAAGAAAAAATAAAAAAATACCTTGCTTGATGTTGACTGATGTTTTTTTTATCTAACTGTGTGTGTGTGTTGTCCCTGTTATTGGTCTCCAAACAGATTACTCTCCCCAGAAACTGCATAAAGCTCAACTCAGTCCCACATTATGTGTATTCTTCAGATGTACAAGACCTAACTGCCATCTACAGTCATTAACTCTCTCTCTCTCTCTCTCTCTCTCTCTCTCTCTCTCTCTCTCTCTCTTTCATTTCAATATGCTTCATCGGAATGAATGCAACAAGGACAACAAGATTGCCAAAACGTCACTCTCTGACAATGCGGTAGATGTGGATACCTGTGACTGATCAAATAAGACATACATCGATTTACATATTCAACTTATTTATTTGTGATTGTGTTTGCGTGTAAGTGTTTTATTTTATGTTTGGCACTGTGGAGATTCCTTGTGATGAATATATGGAAGCCCATTTCCACCACTGTGAGGAAAAATACAGATCCTGTAAGTCATTATAATGAGATACTATCTCAAAATAATGACTTAGCATCTCATCATTATGACTTACTATCTCATAATAATGAGATACTATCTCATCATTATGACTTACTATCTCATAATAATGAGATACTATCTCATCATTATGACTTACTATCTCATAATTATGAGATAGTATCTCATCATTATGACTTACTATCTCATAATGATGAGATACTATCTCATCATTATGACTTACTATCTCATAATAATGAGATAGTATCTCACAATTTCGACTTACTATCTCATAATAATGAGATATGTATCTCATAATAATGAGATAGTATAGTAAGTCATAATTATGAAATGCTAAGCCATTATTATGAGATTCTAAGTCATAATAATGAGATACTATCTCATAATGACTTACTATCTCATAATTATGAATTACTATCTCATTATTATAAGATAGTATCTCGTTATTATGAGATGCTAAGTCATAATTATGAGATAGTATCTCATTATGAGATAGTAAGTCATAATGATGAGATGCTAAGTCATTATTTTGAGATAGTATCTCATTATAATGACTTACAGGATCTGTATTTTTTCCTCACAGTGGCGGAAATGGCCTTCCACATTAATACGTTTGGAACAGACGTAATACGTTTGCCCGTCATCCAATTGCATCGCTCTAAAAGTAAAAAAACAAAACAGTAGTACACCACGCTTCTCTACTGCGCAGACTCACTCAGGGAAGAGAGTCTCGCTTCCCCCAGAGGATTTCTAGTCTCCTTATAAAGGTAATTAAAATAACACTCTTTTGAATCATTTCTGGTCTTCTCAATGGACACACGTGTAAATAACCTTGGTATCATTCACTGTCTGTATATAGATTATCAATGTTGCCTCGCGACTGTTTCCCTGCGTCCTACTTATGTTGTTATGCTAACCGGCGACTGTTAGCTAATCTAGCTAACATCACCAAGTAGTGGTTAGCTTGGCAGCTTCCTCTAAAGCTAACGTCAGCTTTCGTTTCACTCGGCACCACCTGGCTCCAATTAGTACTGACCGATCACACTCAGACAATCCTCAACCCGGACACACACACAACAGAACAAGTCAAATTCATATCATATTCATAGGTCATAAATGAGACGAAATAAATGCATTAATGTGGTTAATGTTCATTCAGGTAGCACAACTCAAAATAATGCTTTCACAATGCACGAACAATTATTAAATACAACAAAAAATGCAACATGTAGCACGTGTTTAAAAAGGACGGAAACACTTCAAAAGGAAATTGCAGGACAGAAACAGGAAAACAACAGCCAAAGATAATAAAGTACAAGCTATATAATGATAATGATCAGTGGTGCTTGGTAAATAAATGATTACTTTAGGCCACTACCAGATGACCTCAGAGAGTTCTTATGGGAACAGTCAGAGATGTATTTTGGTCCCAAGATTGATAGAAAAGCAGCAGCATTTTAACTCTCTTGGAAGCATTTTCTTTGTGATTTTCTAATACATTTGAACTGTAAAAAGGGAATCTTCGTTACAGATAATGTAACTTATTTGTAACAGCTTACTACAGCTGAATATTTGGACACTAATTGTTATCATGAAATATGATGAACTACTTGCAAGTCTGATGGTCTGAAGGTAAATGCAACTTCAAGGACAGTGAGCATGAAGCTTATACTTATATTGTATATAGCAGTTAAATGTTTATACCTACACCTGTTCTACTTTTTTGCTGCCCTTTTTTATTCTTTATATATTTTTTCTTGTTTATTGTAAAATAGTGTATGTACATTGAGAGTGGAGTGGAAACCGGAGCATACATGGCCAATAAAGCTGATTGTGATTCTTAACTCAGTTCAAAGCATCCCTCTGAAGTTCAGATGTTATAATTGAACTTTACGGGCACCTCCTTAGCTAAGGGATGAATCGCATAGCATGAACAACAGCGTCGCTGGTTTGAGTCCGGGCCAGGGAACTTAGTTTTTCTTTGTCATCTCTCTGCAGTCTGTTTATAAAGGCACTAAAAGCACCAACAAAATGATATTCACTGCCCTTAACTGCACACCTTAGCTCCCTTTGTCATTCTGAGGATGAATATACATTTGACATTATCATCTTTTAATGTGTTTCTGTGTGTGTGTTTGCGTTTGTCGTCTTTAAAAATCAGCTCTTAGGAGCTCACCACCACCAGTAAAGCTGTATAAGCACCGGGTTGACGGGGCCGAAGGAAGTGGCGCGGCGTATGGGGAGCTGCCTGCTGAAATCGCAATGAGTTACAAACCCATTGCTCCTGCGCCCTCCGGCTCCAACCACACACCTCCAGGTTCTAACACCACTCAGCTGGACGTGCAGTTATTGGCCCGTTGACATCTGTGTTACATAGTGTGTCACATCTGTTCCCATCTTCTGTCTAGGCTCCTCTGTGCCCTCTCCATCCCTGCCCTCGTCATCAAACTTCAGGCCGGCTTTTAGTGACTTTGGCCCACCTTCCATGGGCTTTGTTCAGGTATGTCTGAAGTACAGTTATTCATGCTGTTGTGTTGTCTTTGTTATATTTTCTCTCAAATAACATAACTTTTTGATATAACCCTTTTATATGTATGGTCATACCAGCATGATCATTGTAATAAACTAATCTGAATTTAGAAGGAACACAGATTGTATTTTTTCTTTAATCTTGAAATTCCACACCAAAATGTCCTGAGCGGTGTGCTTTTATTTTGAAGTGAAACTGGTCTTTGGAAATGTATTCTTAGTCATTAATTTGGAATAATTATTCACACTATTTCCCCTATTATTTGATTTATTGAAAGAATGGTAAATTGCCTATCATGTTTACCAAAAGATCCCTTTTATTTTGTAGTCAGTTCTGACAACACGTATAAACTCACTTCAGCGCTTCACTTCCTCCCTCAATATAGTAATTTACTACATCCCACTTAGAACAAGCCGCAATACATTAAGTATATTCAATATATTGCCCACCCCTAAATACATACATATTACAAGTTAACCAATAATCAAACCACAACCACTCTTAATGATGTTTTTAATGTGGGCCTTTGCAGGTCAAGAGCTTGTAATTGATGTTATGACTTTGTCGGCCACTTTGCATAAATTCCCTCACTAGGGCTGTAGCAGCTGAATACCTGCAAAGTATATACATTTATTAATAATGCCTCAAATTGCACATGTCTTTCTCTATTCATGGAGGACAGTAAATACTGACAGATCTGGAAGGCTGTTATTGTGAGGCTGCTGCATGCATGTGACTAATATGTGTGTATTGTGATGTATGTGCCAAGGGGGGGGCTGATTTGAGTGCATGAGTCTACAAAAAAGCATGTTTTTTTAATTTTTTATCATTTTGTAGCTGTGACAAGTCTTGATACTCTATTCTTTTTTTCTCCCCTAAACATGACATGCTTCTGAAACGACACAAACAGCCTGTCAAAGTGTCTCAAGGATCCACCTACAGTGAGCTTCTGTCTGTCATTGAGGAGATGAGCCGTGAGATCCGGCCTACATATGCTGGGAGTAAGAGTGCTATGGAGAGGCTAAAGAGAGGTATACTTAACTTGTCAAAAAGACACAGTACCTGATCTCAGTGCAAGTCAGGATTTGTGTGTGCTGAATATCATGAATAGTTCATAAAAGTACTGACGGGGGGACAACTTGATTTTAAAATGGTCACAAATGAAAACTAAGATTACAAATGTGGACAATAATTTGTAATATTCACAAATGTATGCTGCAATCTACACACAAATACCAAGTAAGTTTAAGACAGTTTTATCAGTAAATATTAATACTTTACACACAGATTTTTAACTTCATCTTCACAGGTCTAGTAATTTTCCCCTTTAAAAAGCTTCCTGTGTATACAAATGCTATAATTATGTGCTAGTGTAAAACTGGGACATCGGTGAAACTGTGTGTGATTTCAGTGGGAAAGAAGTTTTTCTAATAAACACCTGTAGATCAAAACCGTGTTGCTGGTTGTCAGATGTGTGAGACACGAAAGTTAAACTCAATATATTTTGTAGATGTTTATGGTAACTGAAAAAAAACATGCACCATTAATTGTAATTTGCTTTGGATTTAAAGAAAGTCAGAAGCAAAGAAAAACTTTTGATGTGTGGACACCAAACAAAGAGGAAGTAAGGCCATTGTCAACAAAATATGAGAAGGAAATGGATCATTATGCTACTCCCATTTTATGCTCCGTTTTTAAATTCAGATGGATAGTTATGAAGATATATAGAAGTAATAGACTGGCGTGATTGAAGTAGAATCACATGCATTAGAAGCTTCAGTCGTTGTGTAAATTGAACAGGCGGACAGACGGCTAAACCCAATTTTGCCTTTAACTTGACCTGCAGTTTTCCTGCAGGCCAATGGTTATCATAGCAATAAAGACTGTCTTGGATGCATTAGATTTTTTTAGTTGAGGTATACTCAGACAGAAATTGCTACCACTTATTGTAGCGATGGATGTCATTAATATCAAACTGTTGATTTAATGCCTCCTTCACCTTGTGTCTGTCTTCAGGTATAATCCATGCCCGTGCACTTGTCAGGGAGTGTCTTGCAGAGACGGAGAGAAGCGCCCGCACATAACCTTTTCAGAAGCTCCCCTCACTCCTCCCTGATAAAAAACTGTCCTCATCGAGATCCCCATCGTCTGTTTTACAGCCATAGCTTTTCACTTTTTCCTCGACAGCTTTTTATAGGTGCATTATGTCCTCCTTGTCTCCACTGTTCCCTGCATTCCACCACACCATTTTGCTCATCACAAACTTTCTGTTTATGCAGAATGCAGTTTTGTATCCATTTTGAAATTAGTGTGGTGACTTTCTACGCATTTTAAAGTTAAGCTGTGGGTGAAAACCTTACTCAAATGGATGGGAAAATATTATTTTGACCATGAAAGTTGGGGTTTTTCAATGATGAAATCAATATTCCAGCTGCACCATCGTTCAAGTTTTTTTTTTTTTTGATTATCACTCTGCAACCACTGAATATTTTTTTGTTAATATGGACATTTTGAATATACCCCATTTCTATCCATACTTGCTTTTTCATATTTTGTAATGTAAACACACATTACATGTTTCTCAATCCCAAAAAACACTGTACATCTCAAGTCAATTTGTTAGTAATGGAAATTTTGTAAACCGGATTTTTGCAGTTATGTATGTATATCTTAATTAAATAACAGAAAAAAACAACTTTCAGTGTCTGTTTCATCTGTGAAGCATGTTTAATAGGTTGCCAGGGAACTGATATTTTGCAGTTATACTGCGGACAGTGATGAGACGCCTTCATATTAAATGTTTTTCATTGAATTAAAGAGACTCTTCATGGCACTGAGCTAAATGAATACTCAACTGCTGAAGGCCACAAGTGCACCTTCTGCCAAGATTTCTCTAAAGGTTCTCTGACATTCAGAGCATCAATAGCAGCAAACTATTTGCTATGTGAAGGTAAAGTCATGTCTACCTAATCAGAGAATGAAGTCGCACTGCGAGCGTCTTGCCTCGTTGAGAGCTATCAGAAGACAATCCACTAATCATGGATGTGCTCTGAATAAAAGGCCTTTTCACAGCATCTGTCTTTGCAGGGTGAACACAGGTGTAAGTAATAACATTAATTACAGCCCTGTTACATTTAGGCTTCTTCAGGACGGAATTGTGCACGCTGGCATACTGGAACGGCTGTGACACAATAAATTGAATGGGACCGTAATTAATTGTAATCAATTACACTCGTTAACCTTGCTATGACATGTCAAAATGGCTGCTGTAAAAAGGGCTTTCCTTATTGAGCTCTTTTTAAATATTTCGAACATCTTTTACTCTAGGATGCGATGCAAACTGTTCCGGTGCATGTCACAAATATATTGAAGTAAAATGCAAAACCGGGGGATAAACACAAATTTATTGTCATTTACATTCATCACAACCTCAATAACGTCTCATGGCCTAACAACCAGCTGCTTCGCAAGAAGAGGGATGAGAAGCTCTTTATGAGCAAGTGAAGGAGATAGTGAGGGCTTTGTTGAGTACATCGTGACAAAAACAATATGATGATATAGGTCTTATATATATATATATATATATATATGAAATGAGTACAAAGGAGAAAGCAAAGATAAGACAAGTCCATGTGTGTTGTAGAATGATTGTCACAAGACAGCTTGGTTTCCCAGTCGCATCTACCAGGAGACTGGTCTCCTGCTTACTCCAGTGCTTCCGCTGTTACCAAGAAGGAAGAGCGGGTCTGGCGTGGAAGGCAGAGGTGTGCATGTGAGTAGATGACGTTCCTTGTGCACAGAAAAAAAGTACTCCTTGGTTTTCTATCGGGAATTCATTGTAATCGCTCCTAAAATTAGTAATTTTAGGATTATCAAACAGCGCTGCACAGATTTCAGAGAAAGCAAGACAACATAAAATGCTTAAACTACTCATTTCTAAAAAAAAAAAAAAAAAAGAATCTTTGCAGCAAATCCTGTGAAAAATGTTGCTACGGATAACATGGTGTAGGTAGTAGCCTATTACTGTGAGAAAGTTATTTAACCAAGAGTGTTGACATTTCTGGAGCGACAACGGGCTAAGTAAAGAAAAGAGTTTACTTTAGAAAACTATGACGCTCTAAAATAATGATGCTGTTGGCCAGTACATACCTATGGTTATGTCAGCCTGCCTTAATCAAGGGCTGAATATTACTTTGATAAAGGGAGTAGGGCAGGAATGCAAATTGCACCTTAGTATATATATATATATGCGTGGCTTTGCGTGTATGACCGGACTCCTGTGAGAATATGTTTGCGTGTTCCATGGAGGGCTGAGTGGCAACAGTTTTTGGCTCGGATGCATGGATTAAAAACTTAAAACACCAGTCAGCGCAGTTTCCTCCTCCTCTTTTGAACTTCACAGGCATCCTCTTGTTCCAACCCACTGTGAGATTCAACCCTGTGAGGACAGAAGAGCAGACACTTCTTTGAATTTCTGCATTATGTTATGACAAATGAGCTTCATATGAATATCCAGGGGACAGATAGGAGACGCAGTTTACAGAAATAAAACTCGAGGTAGACTGACTGTAGTGGCAGTGGCTGGTGTTGCGTTGTAGTTGAATAGGTCTTTGTAGCGACCCTTTTCCTCTTTCTCTTTGGTGCGGATCTTCTCCTCCATGATCTTCAGCTCCTTGGCGATAGACGGTCCCAGAGAGGGGTCCAGCTCCAACACCTTTTCAAAGTCTGCTCGGGCCTCCGTCTCGTTCCACACTGCAGCGTGGGCCTTAGCTCGCTTGTAGAAGGCCTTCACGTTGTCTGTTAGGACGGGGACACAAAAAAAAATGTATACAAATTCTTAATTTGCACATAAATCAGAGCTCCTACGCATCCTGGAAAACAGCATGAAAAATTACAGAAAAAAGTCAAATGTCCTGTAAAATGATTTCAACATTCTCCTACTTTCCCTTAGCTTAAGATATGCTATAGGCTATCTGTCAGAGCTCCCTAAAACAGATATGTTGTGATGTTATGTTCAGGATCATAATAACTTTCAGATGGTAGTTTATAGACAAGAGTACTTTGAACAAGGTGCTCTCGGGTTATGTTATGGAAATGCTATGAACACACCCCCAAGTCACGTAGCATGGTTAGCAAAAGCAGGTTCGATGACTTCACTCTTCCCAACTTGTTTTAAACGGTTGAATAATGGTACGTTAATAAAATCATGCAATTTAAAAGGAGTCGTCTTTTGGCCACATGATTTAGCCATCACTGTACAGTACACTCGTGTGGCAGACTCATAAACCCTGAAAAAAACTTAGTTGTTTAAGCTTCATTACATTTGAATCAATCTAGCATGTACAGCACCAACAACAAAGCCTTACACTCATATTTGAAGACTATGGATGTGCAGTGTTCGATGACTTCGTAGTACTGGCCCTGGAGTAGCTTGCACTGGCAGTAGTTGAGGAGCAGTGGTGTTATCATGTGGTCCAACTTCACCCATACTTCGTCCCCAGGGTGCTCCTGAAAGGCGAGACCAAAGTCACAGAGAGGAGTTACAGAATGCATTTTAGTGCATATTTCAGTGTTTATACTAAAGAAATAGGATATTATAAAAACCAGATCTGATCTTTATTAGCTTGTATTCAACTGTGCTCTAACCTTCATCTGTAGATTTTTGAGGCAGGCAATGCCATTGTAGTACTTCTCTGTGGCTTCCTTAATTTGGCCCTTTTTGAAAAGCATGTTGCCCTCCTCATGGATCTGAGGCACGAGCTTGAGTTTCTCTTCGTCTGTCATGGCCCACACGTCAAGCTGGAACGATCCTGGAGTCAGAACCTGAGCAGAGGAAAAGAGAGAAGATCAGTAGCAGCCGGAGCTCACACTGTAGGGGAATATAACTGTAGTTGTGTGAGGTAAATAGCAACTCTTTATTGTACATATAAATGACATTAGAAGTTTATTAGATGCACATCTACAGTCGAATGCAATTCATTACAATATCCGTGCCTAGGAATCCTGTCTTAGGAATAAGCCTTATAAATTTCAGCTTTTGCTTAAATTGTGTTACAACAATTGAGACCAAAGGGGTGTCATATTGGACTACATGATATCGATAGGTGTTTATAATGTGTTGTTGTCACCCTCATGCATATAGAACAACTTTGATTTCACACTTGATTTGTGAGAACTTTTGCTTCTTTTTTTCCACAAAAAATGGTTTGGAAAAAAAAAAGGTTTATATATGTCAAAGTAAGATATTATAAAAAAGGGTATTGGTACCAAAACTTAGGTATTGTGTTGGTGATACAATAGAAAAAAAAATAAAATCAAACAACACTGTTTGAGTTTGTAAACCTGAATGCAACCCAATCAAATGAGCACCACTAATATTAAACTGTGGGCTCACCTCCAGCAGCTCGATGCTGAAGACGAGAGGCTGCTGACTGGCCTGAAGCTGATCCAGGTCCTTGTGCCCCAGAGAGTGGTGGGAGTGGATCTGAGCAATGCCGCAGCAGTGCCTCTGGCCTTCCAGGGGGTCCTTACCAGCACTGATGTTTCTCAGGGACTGGGACACGAGCGGATACAGTGCCGTGTGCTGACGGGTGAACAGAAATGGTAAATGCACACAGAAAGAACAAGATTGCCACTTCATCCCAAATGTCCAGCTCACTAACCTTATTGTCACAGGTGAACTCTGCAACTTCGCCTTGTTTCATGGTGATGACCACTCTCTCCCACACAGCTAGTTTAAACTTCTTGCCCAAGATGAGCTCCATGGGTTTGCTGCGGCCCCCCATGGTTCTGGAATCATCCAGCACTTTGCCATCACACAGGCTGGTGCGGTAGTGGAAGACCACCTGGTAAACAAAGATGGGACGTAAACACGGACAACATTACACACACAGCACACTGCTCAACAGAACTATCCGGTTAAAATAACGGTTCTGACGCCACACTTTTTAAAGGACACGCGATGCATTCGATTCCGCTTGTTTACTAGAAACAAAAGAGCAATCTGAACGGATCAGACAGGCCTGGAGAGAGTCATGATATTCTGACCAATCACAACAATGGAAAATGATTGGCGTGGTCTGCCGACCAATCAGCATTCATAAACACATGCCATCCTGTCCCACCCCCTGTGTTTCCGTCAGATGAAAAAAATAAGGGGAAAAAAAATATATAAACCGGCTAAAAACAAATGGCAGCCGCAAACAAATCTAACGTTGTATAACCGCAAAAGGAGCAAAGCTCACAAGCTTGTCAGCGTTATATGTGTACAAGCGCATTAGGTTTGCTGTAACGTTCACATTAACATCTATCTGACAGTCTACTGTGTTAGCTAGCTAGTGCTAGCATTAGCTAAAGTGCTTCATCGCATTTCTTAAACTAATTCAGCGGACTGGACTCGGCAGTTCCCACCGTCGACACACTGTAGTTTTACCTTTGTTCCATTGGGAAAGGTCGATAGCTCTCCTTTACCAGGACTGATCAGTTTCTTTACTATTCCTTCCTCGAGAAGCTTGCGTGCCTCTTCCTCCATCCTTGACCGAGTCTCAATTAACGACAGATGACGATGTTTGCCGAAGCCACCAACCGAGTCGTTTCGTGGGACGTCCCTCTGCGCCTCACAGCGCCCTCTAGACGTAGCCTGCGCGAGTGCCTCACTACAATAACAACAGACACAAAAGTGTCATGAAAATATACATAACGAATCAAGTACTAGTACGCTGTATGATGCACTCTCTCTTATTTTATGTAAACCTAAATCTGCCGTCTAAATTTCACACTGCTTTCTGATCATAATAAGAAACTTCAAATCTGAATAGATTGATTTTGGCTATTGTAGAATACCAGCAGGCTAAATATCTAATTTATTCCTAATATTTTAGAGTTCCTGCATCTCTTGGCTTCCTCACTTTTTCCACACCTTGTCACTGCGAAAAATAGTGCTGGTTTGACTCCTGCAATTTAAATAGGCCAGGAACCGCCGCTAGATATCTAAAATAAAGTAATTAACAGTTGATTGTCTCCCTTGCTCCGACCACACACATCTTCTGATCTCAACTTCACACCTGTAAAGTGTTGTGACTGCATCTTACACAATGTTGATGCTTTGCCACTTATGAGCCTTCAGCTATCAAACTTCTCTCCGATGGAACCAGCTCCCAGTTTCAGCACGGGAGGCAGACACCTTCTCGAAATTTAAGAATAAGCTTAAGACCTTCGTCTTTTATAACGCTTATGGCCGGCTCAGGCTTGCCTTGGACCAGTCTCTAGTTATGCTGCTGTAGGTCTAGACGGATGGGGGGAGACTTCCTAGGATACACTCTAATCCTCCTCTCCCTCTGTACGTTTTCATGTCCCATGAATGCATGTTACTAATTTGGCTTCTTCACCAGAGTCTTTGTGCTTTCTCCCCTCACAGGTTTCCATGGATCGGGGTTACACCATGGATCGTGGTTGCACCTTTTGCCGTGGACAAAGTCATGGTATAATATACATGTCGTGAAAAATGTCATCCTATAGTATGGCCTTTAAAGTCATAGTGTTTTATGTCAGAAAAATCATAGTATAGTTTGTTTTAAAGGCATATGGTAAAGCTCACTTTGCCCTTGATTGGAAAAAAATCTCAACTGGCACAAATTCAAATATACAAAAGTTTTATTGTAATTTCACAGTCATTATTCACACGACATAGAAAACACAGGCAGGACCAATCTCCTTTTTTGTGTACAAATACAGCAATATCAGTTCATGTAGCGGAAACATAGTCGAGGCACTGAGTGGTTGAATTAGTAGTGGTCATTACAATGACAAGAAAAAACAACCATGTGACAACACATGTTTTGTTACAAGTGACAAAATACAATTCATTTTAAGATAGCAAAGAAATAAATGTAGTGTCTCGTGAAATGTCATTTTTCAAAATAGGGTAGGTAGAACAATTTGAAGCCTCTCCTTCCCCGGACAGCACAGCTGATGTATATCACATGGTACACTGTAGGAAATACAGGTTATGACATTGTTAATACCAACAAAACAAGGCATGCATTTACTGGTACAGGCTAAGGCCAAGCAAAACAAAAACCCTAGGAAACAATGGATCAATTTACCTCCAGGGATGAAGAGGAGAAATCCAGGTACAAAGAAAATAGCACTTGAAACACCTGTAAGGACCGTTTTATTAGTTACAACCCAGTAAAAAGACAGATCACCAACTCGAATCAATGAAACCACACAACATTTTGGGAACTATGCCTATTTGCTTTGTTGCCAGGAGCTGCATGAGAGGATCGATACCACTCTCATGTCTGTACGCTCAATATGAAGTTACAGCCATAAGACTGTTAGCTTAGCTTGGCACTGGAAAGAGCTAGCCTGGCTCCGTCCAAAGCTAATAGAATCAGTCTGAAGTTCAATAATTAACTGTTTGTTTAATCCAATACAAAAACTAAAGGGTCAAATTCCCAAAATGTCAAAACATTCCTTTTAAAAAGAATCAAATAATGTACTATACTGGTCGCAAAGAGTTATTCACATTATATATTTCCTCCATTCATTCAGGGTGACATTAAATAAAAAAGAAAACTGACAACTTAAGTTTTACTTTTTTCTTTCTGCCACTTGAAAAGTATTCTTACAGACAACCTTGTAAAGTATCTATCTTTTTTATTTCTCTCTTTCTTTTAAAGTATCTTATTTAATAGGTCCTGACTGTTGCAAACTACAACTGTAGTTTGTGTACTGTGCTGAGTACAGCTGGTAAATCTTAGGCCCACCTGTCCCTTTTATTCACTTGTTTTGTGTTTGTGAGTTAGTATTTTAGTTTAATTCATTGGTTATTTGTTTCAAGAAATATTTGTTTCATTCACAGCTTTTCAGCGTCTGTATCAGTTCATACAACAATCTACAGCTTTCTGATGTTTTTGAGAAAACCATAACTATAAAAATAACGTTGCATCTGGACTATACAATTTATTGTGTCATTTCTGGACACTAAAATGGTTTATTTTCCTTTTTTCCTTACCTGCATTTGGATTCAGCTGTATGACAACACCCGTGAAAATAAGAGCTAAAATGAAACAATACAAAAAGTACATCAGTGATCTCATATATATATATATATATATATATATATATATATATGACATATTTCTTCTTTTCATTAGATTACTAGTTCGAACAAAATGTGTTACAGAGAGAGAATCAACAAGGGTACAAAGTTCAGTGTGCCAAACATGTCCCTGACTGACACAACACTGAACAAACTACCTTTTAATCTCTAAACTTTCTGTGCCATTTAAACATTTTACATTTTAGTCATTTAGTCATATGATCTACTTCATCCAAGAAGAAGAAGAAATAGATAACATATTTTTATTTCCTGAACCATCTACTGTACATTTCAAGTAACTACTCTTAAAAGGGTCAGAGCTATTATGCAAATGTATATTCATGTGATATTAGAATATTCATGAGGACAAACCTGTGAAAATGTGAGCAAAACAGGAGCATAAGACTGAATAATTAAAATGAAACTATTCCTCTTTGAATTAAGCATTTATCACAGCAAAATCATTCTGGTTGTATATTTGTATATTTTACATGTAATGAGTGAACAACTCACCAACTCCAGTGATGAGGAGAAGGAATGAAGCGAGAACAACTCTTCTGTTTTTCTTCACCAGCGGATGGGACACCCACCTGAGAAAATATTCTTTAAAGTAAATATGTTTATGTGTGTGTGTATGTGTGTGTGTGTGTGTGTGTGTATGTGTGTTCTCACCCGCAGCAGTGTGCAGACAGCTGTGTGACTGAACTCAAGGTGCTGAAGGACCACTGGGAGCTGCAGTAAGACAGAGTGGCCGGGTCGCTGTGGACAGAGAGCAGGAACAGACTTTATCTCACTTTTCAAAGCACATGGTGGTCTACGATCAATTGTTCTACCTGTAGGACCCACCTGATTTTAAAGAAATTATTGAAGGAGGAATTGCAATTGCTGCCCAAGGCGTCTTCATTTTCCAGATTCTAAAGACGCAGCACAGATAATAAGAGAGCAGCAGTTTAAAGTAAATCATTTATTTATTATGATTATTTTTTTTATAGTAGTCGAAAGTGTACCTGATATTTTAGGTTACTGTGTTCAGGAGAGCCGGCAGCAGCAGCAGGAGAGGGATGAGTCTGAGGTTTGGAGAAAGTTAGAGGACCAAATGTCATCTCTCCTCCTTCTCTGTCGTTGTCTCTGCCCTTCCATCCCTCTGCCTCTCCATCAGACACAGCTCCCTCCTCGTCTCCCTCCAATGCAAAGGCATCATCGATACTAAACTGCGTGGCCATGGTGATAGCCTTTTACACGCTGAGGGCCTGTGGCTTGGTGCTCACTGTTGGTTCAGAGTAAAGATCAGTGTTACTCACAGTGCGCGTGCTCACAGCTTGGAGAAACATTTTGTGGTAGTTAAGTTGTTATTAAGTTACGGGTCATTTTTGCTCATGCATTTCTTATATACGCGCACACATGCCTGGGCTGTGACGGTAACTGTTACGCACAAATAAATAGTCTGGCGTCCCACATCACCTCTATGCAATACAACTTAGCGTTAACTAATGTTTACTACGCTAAAAGGGCGAATGTAGTCATAAAGTCAGGAAAAAGATACAGTACTGCCTCGACTCGGACTACATATTTAAGCAGACTGGACCGAAGTTAACTAAAATAAAGGCCAGCAGCTAACTGGCCATTGTTTGTGCTCTTTCCGCTAGTCGATCAGATGACCAGGGGGAAGACTTACTGTCTGAAGTAAACTTTTTCTCCGGCGAGGCTGAACCCGACTCCACGTTGTGAAGACACAGGTCACATACTTGTACACTCTGGAAATTATCTTCCAAGTCTTCCTGGCACTTTTGATCTCGAGAGCAGAGCGATACAAGATTTTGCAAAAGTTTTGAGTGTCTCGTTCTATTTTTAAAAACCCGGCTATCGATTGCTCATGTCTGATTCCGCCCAACGATCTCTTTGAGGAGTCAGTCTACTTAGTCGAGTGTCGGTTTGTCGATCGACACTCACTGGTAGAGTAGAAGTATAGGCAGTATCCGTGGTATAAGTATACAAGTACTAATACCACAGTAAAAAAAATACTCAAAGTACTTAATGTAGAAAAATGGCTTATGTTACTGTTATAGGCTACTATTATATAATTAGAGAATGTGCATTAATGTGTAAGCATTATTTCACTGTTTTCAGAAAATTTCAGAAAATATTGACTTACTTATCCTCAAAATGCCTGTTTTGAGGTTAATTTAAGGACCAATAGTCCAAATTAAAAATTAATTAAAATTATTAAACTATTAAAAGGAAAAGCCACAAATCCTCACATTTGAGAATCGGAACCCATGAAATGCATTTTTACATGAAAAACAATGATCAAAATAGTTTTTATCAATTGGCTTGCCGATTAATCAACTGATTGTTTCAGCTACTTCTATATATATTGTTTGGTAGATTAGTTTAATTGATAACAATACACCATATTTTATAAGATCTTCGTATGTTTTTCATACAAAAGTATTAATATGTAGGAACTAGTTACTAAATCTATCAAATTTCTCTCTCAAGTCAAAGTGTAGTGTATGATGTGGCATGAAAAGAAAATACTCAATTAAAGTACCTACAGTTTACACTTAAAGGTAGTGTGTAGGATTTAGATGCCCATCTAGTGGTGAGGTTGCATATTGCATCCAACTGAATACCCCTCCCTAGTCCTCCCTTTCCAAGTGTTCCCAGTGTGTTAAGGGTGACCTTCAGATAACCGAACAACGACAAATGCCTTCTCTAGAGTGATTGTTTGGTTTGTCCATTCTGGGCTACTGTAGAAACACGGCATTGAAACATGTCGGACCCGCTCTGTATATACTGTATAAGCGGGCCATTCTAAGCTTACGAAAACACGATTCTTAGTTTTAGGTCGTTATACACTAATGAAAACATAGTTATAAATATTATATTTAATTTATGCCAATAAATCCTCTTAAATCCTACACATGCTCCTTTTAGTACAGTGTTTTGAGTAAGTGCACTTAGTTACATTCCACCAATGCATGAAAAGACTTGCTTCGTTGGAATGATTTAACATCACAAAAGTGTTCTTACTTTACACATAAAAATGCTTGGTTTAAGGAGTCTTTAGGGATAAAACCACCCAAGAAATGACCCAATGACACAAGTCAAGTTGTCTCTTAATTTAGTTGTTAAATGGGCAAGACTTCAGGGATGGTTATTATGTTATTTGGTAAGTCTCTTAAATGTATAAACAAAAGGAAATTGCTGAAAAGTAACTGACGGCTGCTATACTTAGTGGTAAATCATATTGACTAAAGTCCCTCCAGCTGTCCTCTTAACAATACCAATACTCCCCAACAAATAAATGGAAAACTGTACTTAAAAATGTACTAATTCATTTAATGATCCCATTAAAACACTTATTGTCACTCTGCCTCCATCAATTTGACACTTCAATGATGTGTTATGATTGTTGTCCACAAATGTGGTAACATTGTTTTCTGCCAATTAGAACACACTCAGCTTGTGTTTTTCTCCCACTACGCTATTGTCTGTATATAGTACCAATGCAACCTTTAGCAAAATCAAATTATGTGAAACACTTCAGGCAAAAACATTCTGATGATTGGAAATGAGCCAAAGTGAAGCTTACCGCCAACTACTAATAAATATGTTTCACTTGTCAAGATAAGCAGTTATGATTGATGATAAAAAAAACCTGGACTTAAGTACTGATATATAAAGTAATAAAATACTATATATTTCAATGCAATGAATGCCAAACAGGAGCATAAATTATCCCACTTGATATCTGTTGCCAACATGTGAAATCATGGGATTTCCAGTAAGTCAGAAGACCTGCATTATGCAAACAAACATCTCTAAACCAATAAGCACAGATTAGTCATTGATGGTTGCAGCTTTGAGGAGCAGACCGTTAGAGGTGGTAGATGAAGTGAACAGTGTCGGGTGTGGCAGAAATATCGTGGGTAAAAAAACAACTGGTCACTGAATTTGGATACATTTGGAAATTCAAGGTGTGAGTTTTTAATGTTTCTCTGACTTTTATTGTTGACTATGCAATGAACAGAAGCAATATTTTGTACAGTGTACATTTATACATTACTTTTGTTATTTATCCTCTGAAGTTTTCTTGGGATTAATCTCTGGCAAGGGTGTATTTAATGCAAATGTAAGCTGTAGCTAAATGATTACAGTTTAAAAAGTTTCAATGTGTTTCAATGTGTTTCAATAGTGTTTCAACATGTTTCACAGATTGCACCACATTATTGATCTTCTGTCTGGCTTGGTGCCATATTCAATTTGAAATCCTCACTTGCAAAACAACATCAGCAACTTGCCAATTTCAATTTACTCCCTTTGCTCTGTTTTCCGCTTTAGATGAAACTACAGGCTGTACTTTGCCTCTTGCTGCTGCTCAATTATGAGGTAAACTTACCAGAACAATGTAGAATGAGCTCCTTATACAATCGCTCTGCTTGAATGTTTACCATTATCTTCTATATAAAATATTGACCAAAGTGCTTAAACCTCATCCTTCTTCAATCTTGAATTTATCAACTTTCCCTCACATGTTTGAACTCCGTCTTTCTACTTAGCTTTCTTCATGCATAGATCTCCGGCTGGTACCTGGTTCCTCTCTGGAGCTGCCCTGTCTTTCATTTCAAACTGACTTCACTGGAGCGGCCATCACCTGGAAATTCAATGGTCTTTATATATTTTGTAACTACCACCACTATTGTCACTGTTTTGCAAAAGTACACAGTTATGTATGTATTCAGTTTGATCTTTTCTTAATGCAGGGGAAGATGTACATGTCAGTGCTCAGTCGCCTGGCTCGCCTCGAGTTAAACAAGATGGCTTGTATCTCTCTATATCCCCCGTTACTGCTGCCAATGAGGGGGAGTACTTGTGTTTGATAAAAAAGAACGACATGGAGATGATAAGGACATACCACGTTACAGTTGATGGTGAATATCATAGATACACACTACTCTTTCACATTTATGGAACATTTTGACTAGAGTATATATATCAAATTTAAATATATAACATTCAGCAATATGCTCGACTCTAAAAGAGTTTGAAGTGTTTGTGCATTTCTTTTCAGCATTCGTTACCTATACCATCAAGTTAATTGAGGGCTTTACTCCTCACCTCCCGTGCCATTTCCCACCTTCCAACCAAGTCAAGGCCAATGCACTTTGGTTCAAAGAGACAGGTAAGAGTACAAAGTTGCACCTTGAAGACGATCCGACAGCTGAACATAAAAGAGTGGAGCAGCTTTATCCACTCGACCATGATCAGACCATCATCATCAGAGACATTGTCATGGAGGATGCTGGAAATTACATATGTCAATCTGCTGAGGGAGAGAAGCTGAGCTCTGTAAATATCATTGTTGAAGGTAGGTTTGACAACCTTTTCTATATACCTAAAATTAAATGAAATAAGGTCATTTTTTTCTTATTAATAAAAAAAACAGGTACATTTATGTACATTTAACCATCTGCTTAACTTTCTTTCAGTTGCTCCTACCGCTGTTCCTCCCTCCTGCAGCGGCTTCACCACAGCGTGGGAGGCCTGCCAGGACGAGAACAATCGCACAGGGGAACCCATGTTGCAGGAATCCATCACAGAGTTTTCCATGAAGCTGTATTCTTACCTCAGAGAATCACAACCCTCCAGCAACTTGCTCTTCTCTCCTATCAGTATCAGCGGGATGCTGTCCCATTTGTTGTTAGGTAAGACAAAGGAAGCAGGTCCTCATTTTTTATTTTGAAACAACATAATGATACATAATGATTAATCATTAGTCTTGTATACTCTAAAAGTTTTTATTTTTATTTTCAACATTTCCCATGAAAAGACTAAAACCAACAATGAGTTGAAGTATTGTCTTGGCGTCAAAATTCTGATATAGCTTATTCCTCTGTGCCACAGACCTCCACTTTTAGCAACACATTAATGAGCCACACTGTTGCAAAGTGTGATGTGTTGCTTCATCACGACGAATGTGGGCACTGCAGATTACTTTCGGTTGATCCCATACACCATCCTGCTGACAGAAATTGCACCAAATCCTACACAATCTCCTCCAAATGTTCAAAACTACAGAGCCCAACTGTTTCAGAAAATGATTTTGCCCTTTTTTATGTTTTGTCAAATATGTATACCTTCAGTAGGAGCAAAGGGGCTTAGGACTGAAAGCCACAGACAGACAAGGGAAGTATTGACTAATGCGTTGATGATTTTGGTGTTTTCATGGGATTTGAGAATATGAAAAACATAGAACACCACCAATATCCTTTAAGATTCTTTGGTCTAACAAGGATGAATCTTAGCAAAATGAATCACTGTCTTGGAAGTTACATAAAAATGTTTCTCACTTTGAAATGTCACTGGAGTTTTTCTCTACTTATGTGAAATGTCATGCATACCTTGCAGCCTTCAATATCACTCTAAAGTACAGTATATATCATTCCTATGTTGTCTTTTCTTCATCATGTTCAGGTGCAAGGGGTGACACCCGTAAAGCCATTGAGAGGGCTGTCTGTGTGCCTCATGACTTCCACTGTGTTCACCTCCAGATGAAGAAGCTGAGAGAGAAGTTAGCCGGCTCCTTGCAGATGGCTTCTCAGATCTACTATACCCCAAGTATTACTATCACACGCTCACAAAATGGCTCCTCTGCAGTCAAAGAGCTAGATGCAGAGGTTCTGAGTGCTCATAAAAGGATCTCTATCTCCGCAGCTCATCATGATTTATCTGTTCTCTTCCTCAGAAATGAACCTTAGCGAATCCTTTACTAACCAGTCCATCCAGTTCTATGAAGCGGAGCCCACCAGGCTGCTGGAAACCAGCGAGAAAAGCACACAGATGATCAACAGCTGGGTGGCAAATAAGACCA